TAAGTTTGAACCCTAATCTGGTAATTAATAAGTTCGATATCGTATCTTCCTATTAAAGTAATTTTTTAATATATACTGTTTAATTTTATTTGAGTACATTGTTTGAATATATATCTTCCAAGCAAAAGGTAAATTATTTCAATGTAATCAATAATTTAATTAATGATATTATAATGATATTAATATAATTGTTTTGAATGTTCAATTTTTATTTAAGCATAAAAACGCATAAGTTTGGACCCTAATTTGATAATTAATAAGTTCAATATTATATCTTCCTATTAAAGTAATGTTTTAATATATACTGTTTAATTTTATTTGAGTACATTGTTCGTATATATATCTTCTAAGCGAAAGGTAAATTATTTCAATATAATCAATAATTTAATTAACAATATTATAGTAATATTAATATAATTGTTTCAAATGTTCAATTTTTATTTAAGCATAAAAACATATAAGTTTGGACTCTAATCTGGTAATTAATAAGTTCGATATTGTATCTTCCTATTAAAGTAATTTTTTAATATATACTATTTAATTTTATTTGAGTACATTGTTCGTATATATATCTTCTAAATGAAAGGTAAATTATTTCAATGTAATCAATAATTTAATTAACAATATTATAGTGATATTAATATAATTGTTTTGAATATTTAATTTTTATTTGAACACAGAAGAACTTATATTATACATATGTGATTTCAGGATTTTCATTGTTCAAATAAATAAACTCCCTGAAAATTAGATCTCTAATTTAGTAATTAATAAGTTCGATATCATATCTTCCTATTAAAGTAATTTTTTTATTTAAACGATATTAATTATTAATATAATATTTATAAAAGACAATATATTTCCCAAGTTTTTGTAAAATTAATTTTCAGTCATTCGCATTCATCATTTCATATAACTTCACCTTTAAATCTTCTAAAATATTCAAACGATCATTTAAAATGAGTAAAAAAAAGTGTTTACCTAAAGCTGAAAGTAGTAAAATGGCTAAGAAGAAAACTAAGAAGAGATCACGTAAACATAAAAAAAAAAAGTAAGATTTATATAAGCTGATATAGTAATTTATTAATTATTAACTTAATATATAATATTTTTTTAGTAATTAAGAAGTTTATCACCAAGATGATTGCAGGAGCAATTGCTGCACTCAAAAGTAAAGGAAAAGGGTTTAAACTATCAAGCTCTAGCTTGAGTAGTGCTAGCACTACTAGTAGCGAAGATGATAGAAGGCGATCAGATAGTGAAAGCAGTGGAAGTTGTTCTGGCAGCAGTATCCGCTTTACTAGCAGCAGCAGCAGCAGTCATAGTAGCAGTAGCAATAATCATAAACTACCAAAACAACTAACTTAGAAGCAAACAACCCACCTTCGTGTAAATATATTTATTATCCAACTCTGTCATTTTTTTAATAGATTATTATTATAATTATAATTATTATTGTTATTATTATTATTATTATTATTATAGGATGAAATTAAAGTATTAATAGAGGGAGGTAAATTGTCCTCTTTAAAACCAGATCCTTTGGTCAAATAGTCCAATCAGTTGAAGGCCATAAGATCAAAATTAATCCCAGCATTAATTAAAAATTTACCTGGGTATAAGCAATATTCTGGTGTGATTGAGAGGATTCTAAAGCAGCATCATAAGATGCAGAAGCGTACTGCGCAAATAAACGCTGACCCTGAATTACAGCAGCATAATCGCATCAGAATGGGGTGAAATAGTAAAATTAATGAGGTAAGAATAATATAATATTGACTTTATGTAAATTATTTTTAAATCATTCATCAAAAGTTATTAACTATTTATAAGTCACAAATAATATAATATTGACTTTATGTAAATTATTTTTAAATCAATTCACTGAAAGTTATTAACTATTTATAAGTCACATACCGATATTACATAGAGTAAGGGTTGGCATACAAAAATTTTGAATATTTCTAATTTATCTATTTAAGTTCGGACAATATTATCCGGTGTTGTATCGGCATGTAACATATAATAAAATAACTTTCGGGAATTAAATACTATAATAATTAAATTTTTTTTTTTTTATGAAATTAAAAGAGGAAAAGAAGGAGAAGGGCGTTGACTTTTTTAATTAAGTCAGGAAATAAAAAAATTTTAAGATATTCGCATGACGACTTGGAGTTATTGACAAGAAGCAAAGGAGAAAACGCATATCATTTTGCTGAAGAATGGGTGACAGATGAGGATGCGATATTGAGAGATGAGGAGAAGCGGAAAAAATTAGTGTGTAAACAAATGGTGGTGTAGGTCGCATGTAAGTATACGCATTATTATCAATACGTACTAGGATAAAATTAGCTAGTATTATGTATAATACTAACTAATTTTATCATAGTATGCATATAAGCAAACAATATATACATATATATATTAATAATGTATCGCTCTAATATATTATTTAGTTAAAAAGGCTTTTTTATAAACGAATAGATCTGTTTGTGAAACAATCTAAAAATAAACGAATGTTCAAATGTCACTATGAAGATCACATAGATAAAGAAGGAACACCGCTCCCAGATTGCCCTAGTTAAGCACTATCACCTGAAGCAATAGAACAGTATAATATTACTGCACCAGAATTTGATGCTGACTTTTCAAGTGGAGAAGAAGACCTAAGAAAAAAGAAAAAAGCGAAAACAAGAAAAGAAGATGAAGGAACAAGTAAAAGGAAGGATAGAGATAATAAAGGTGAGTTGTACTATATAAACGAAGGAAAAAGAATAAAGAAAGAAGTCCCTCCCTTCCAAGTCCGCAAGATGCAATGAAGTGGCCCAAAACCACCACCGCAGCAACACCCAAATCAGTAACTCCAGCAACCCCCAAATCAGCAACCCCAGCAATCACCAAATTAGCAACCCAGCAACCACCAAAGCAGCAACCCCAGCAACCACCAAAGCAGCAACTCCAGCCACAGGAGAACTATTACTAATCGAATTAACAACACCAGTGTCTAGCCTAAGAAGGTCAGAAACACTCATAGGTGAAGTTGTCAAAACAAAAAGGCAATCACAAGTTTATAATATCGAAGATATAGAAGGTGAGAGTAAAGGTGAGAATGAAAGCGAAGGTGAAGGTAGAATGAAAGCGAAGGTAAAGGTGAAAATGAAGGTGAAGATGAAGGTGAAGGTGAAGGTGAAGGTGAAAGTAAAGGTGAAGGTGAGGGTAAGGGTGCAGGTAAAAACAAAAAGAACCAAGAGAAAAAAAAAAAGGCAAAGAGAAAAGAGTAAAGTGAAAAAAAGAGTAAGAAAAAGGCAATAACTAAAATATTGTTATATTTTATTGTTTGTTAAAAATCAGAATATAAGCTTATATCATAAATA